TAGATTTTACACCCAATTGTATATTATTTATATTGTATGTATATATTTTAACTTTTAGAACATGTACTGTAATAGTGGCTTCTAACTGTATTGATGTAAAGGTGTCCGTCTGAAGACCGAAACATATAAGGGCATGAATAATTACAACAACAAAAAAAATCTTAACCAGTCACACTAGACCGAACTATTTCACTTTTTCATGAAAAAAGTATTGTGAAAGTAATGTAGTACTATACCTTTCTAATGGGGGTTTGCCCCAGAAAAATTACAGGGGTATGCAGAGAACTGAACTACATTTTCTTTACTGTATCTTGCTAACACTGACTAATAGTTAAAAGTAATTTTGCTGTTATTATCTTTGACGTGTGTGCAAGATGCAGCCATTAAGTGTTTATGTAAAGACGTAGGCTGCTTTTTCCTTACTTCTTTAAAAATAATATTTGTATTGCGTTTGACACCATGTGCATAAACATGAATTAGGTATAAAGTACAATTTTAGCATCAGAATGGCTCTTAATGGGCAGACTTTGAAAGAATAATACGAAAATAAGGAGATGTGTTTCTTCTACTGATAACCTTCATCGGCTGTTCTAGCTATATAATCGGCCGCACTATGGCCCTGGGGTCGACTCAGCCTCTAACAGAAACGAGTACCAGGAATTAATTAAATAATTTTCCTGGGGGAGTAAAGCGCGTCCGGCGCGTAACGCTGACAACCTTACCGCCATCTTTGGCGAGCCGATTGTCTAAATCAGGTGTCTCCAAACTTTTCGAACCGCGGGCCACATTAGGTAATTCAGCACTTTCAACGGGCCGGATAAAATGAGAAATTAACAACTCTAGGTATATGAGTTTTATTGAAAGCACAGAATTTCATAAACTAAATACAAAGTATGTGAGAATAAATTATCGTATATTAATGACAACAGACGGTAGCAGCAAATGCTCATATATTCATCATAAATTATAATATAACAATTAATGTGGTGAATGATGGAACTCTTTTTGCATTCTTAAAATCTGATTAAATTGAGGTTCAAATTTTGAAAAGCTAATCACAAGTAGCGACTTTAAATGTTCATCGGATAAATTTATCCTGTATTTTGACTTGATGTACTTCATCTGGGAAAAAGTTTGTTCACACAGATATGTCGTCCCAAAAATGGAGATAAATTTACAAGCAAATTTCTTTAAATTTGGAAATTGCTCAGAGTTCAGAAATTTATAAAATTCGATCAAATTTCCTTCCTTGTATTTGTCTTTAATATGATAATTTTCTCTGAAGTTCAATAATTTCCATTTAAATTTGACTTGGGACATCTGCAGCATCACAGTCAAACAGATTTTGAAACAGTCTAATTTCCTGAGCACTGGAATCCAAATCAGCAAATCGCTTCCGAAATTGTTCTTTCAAATCTGAAGTGACTAAATTTGCAGACGAGGAAGGAAATTCTGCTTCACCCTTTTTGTGCAACTCTGCACAGTATAGCAAACGAACAAAGTTACAATTTTTCACTTGGCTTTCCAGAAGTAGCAACTTTGCTCTGAATGCCTTGGTAAGTGCAAAAAAAATCACAGGCTAAGTTATTTTCACCCTGCAACTTTAAATTCAAATGGTTCATATGGTCCACCACATCAGCAAAGAATGCTAATTTCCAAAGCCACTCGGTATCTGCTAAAAAGTGTTTCGTGATGGTTTTTCTCGGTAAGAAATATATCAATTTCATTCCTGAGCTGAAAGAAGCGCGAAAGAACCTTTCCACAGCTACGCCATCGAACTGCAGTATAATATGTCAGGTCAATAAGCTCGGAATCACATTTACCAGTACTCATTGGAAAATTAGTTCATTTGGCGCATTTCTGCACAATTCTTTCGCGGGCCATAGTTTGGAGACCCTTGATCTAGATCAGTGCTTCTCAACCTACGGGCCGCGGCACAGTAATGGGCCCTGGCATCAATTATACTGGGCCACGAGAGGCTCTTCTGGAATTTCTCATTTTCATGAATATATATTTTATAGTGGAAATATTCTTCTCTTCTCCAAGTATAAGTAGAATGATCAAGTCAAGGAGGATGAGGTGGGCAGGTCGTGTAGCACGAATGGGGGAGACGAGGAATGCGTATAGGATATTTGTTGGAAAGCCTGAAGGAAAGAGACCACAGGGAAGACCAAGGCGTATGTGGGTGGACAATATTAGAATAGATTTTAGAGAGAGAGAATGGGATTATATGGATTGGATAGATC